GATGCTGAGTGGCAGTGTGGTGCTGAGTGGCAGTGTGGTGCTGAGTGGCAGTGTGGTGCTGAGTGGCAGTGTGGTGCTGAGTGGCAGTGTGGTGCTGAGTGGCAGTGTGGTGCTGAATGGCAGTGTGGTGCTGAGTGGCAGTCAGGTGCTGAGTGGCAGTGTGGTGCTGAGTGGCAGTGTGGTGCTGAGTAGCCATTTTGTATGAAATGAACAAAATGATCTTGTGTTACAGAGTAGCTTGAGATAAAGTACAGGCATTTGTATGAAGTAACTCATTCTTGTTTTTGTGCCCATGATGCTATCTCACTTTTCCAATATTTTTACCTCTATATTTTCAAAGGTTTAACGATAACAATAATTCTTTTATTTTCACTTCTGTTTGCACAGACTTGGATCTGGGTATTGGTTCCACTGACATTGTACTGTATAGAAAGTTGTGTTAGACTGTTCAGAAAGAGTACAGATAGTATACATTACAAAGGTAGGTGTCAATTGAGTTCTATATCTAACCTGATGTGTTATACACTGTATGGCACCCATATCCAGCCTGATGTGTTGTACACTGTATGGCACCCATATCCAACCTGATGTGTTATACACTGTATGGCACCCATATCCATCCTGATGTGTTATACACTGTATGGCACCCATATCCAGCCTGATGTGTTGTACACTGTATGGCACCCATATCCACCTGATGTGTTGTAACTGTATGGCACCCATATCCAACCTGATGTGTTGTACACTGTATGGCACCCATATTCAACCTGATGTGTTGTACACTGTATGGCACCCATATCCAACCTGATGTGTTGTATACTGTATGGCACCCATATCCAACCTGATGTGTTGTATACTGTATGGCACCCATATCCAACCTGATGTGTTATACACTGTATGGCACCCATATTCAACCTGATGTGTTGTACACTGTATGGCACCCATATCCAACCTGATGTGTTGTATACTGTATGGCACCCATATCCAACCTGATGTGTTGTATACTGTATGGCACCCATATCCAACCTTATGTGTTATACACTGTATGGCACCCATATTCAACCTGTTGTGTTATACACTGTATGGCACCCATATCCAACCTTATGTGTTATACACTGTATGGCACCCATACATGTGTAATAACTAGATCACATTAATCATCCCTATTATATTGTTACTACCGGTATTTATTAATTCTGAAGACAGGTAAGATAATTGGATTGTAATGTAAATGTTTCAATATGTTTTTGAATTTTATTTTTATTGATTTTCAGGTTGTGAAGCATCCATCTAAAGTGATAGAATTACAGCTGAAGAAAAAAGGATTTGAGATGTTTCCAGGACAGTATGTTTTTTTACAATGTTCTAAGATATCAAGATTAGAATGGCATCCATTTACTCTCACATCTGTAAGTAGAATCATATTTTTACTAACTTGTCAGATCACAATCACAGATCACTGCACAATAATTGATTTTCTGATGTGTGTGAGAATTCACCATACGATTTTTGCTTTATCAACCGGTTGTTACTCATGTGACACAGGTCAAGCTTTGTAACAAAATGACGTCATAACTATTGATACTTTGAAAAAATGCACTGAAGTTTATCTTTTTTTGTCGTGTAATTAGACATTTCCAAGATGGAACACTTTCACACTTTTACATACTTCGATAGAATAGCATGTCCAACTATAAGAAAGATATATCAAACCCACCAACGCTGTGCATACTCTTGTGGATGCAGACTTGGCACAATATGATCCCACGACCGTTGTTAAGGAACTTCTTTCCGATCATGGGTGCAATTTTACAGACCCACGTACCCTAACTTATTATTTTTAACACAAATATGGTGGGTGCGTTTGGCTTGTGATAAGGATAATATAGTTTACATCTCATTGCTTCAGATGTTTAATTACATTTCTGTGGATGATGTGACTGGTCTATTTAATTTCAACAACACTTCTCATTGTTGTGTCTCAATCATGAGTATATATAAACTCACAAACACATATACATAATACATTTATTTACAGTTTGCTTAATTGCTTAGCCTATATTTTGTACATACATCTAAACTGAAGTACAGCAATATGTAATATAAAATGAGTTGTAAATTGCACAATTGCACTGTGAATGGGTCAAATGCCCAAAAATATAATAATTTGAGCAACAATCTCTTTTAATTAATCTATGGTCTGAGAGTGCTCTGACACTTCAGGTCTTCCAAATTGATGGTAGTTTGTGTGGCAGCATCACATGATGTCTTGATTCATAATTTATATGCATGGGTATGTCTAAAAAATAAAAACAATATGAATGGTGTTATTTTACAATTTAAATTCATATTATTTAAATAAAAAACTTACAAAGAAATATATGACTAACTTTGCATGACATTTGTATTAAACTTCAACTCAGTCATACATGAACAGAAGAAAGATATGAAACTACTGTAACAGTCTTATTTTCCTTGTAAACACAAACATCTGAAATATAAAAAACATATCGAAAATATTATTGTTTCACCAACCTCGTGACTTTATATTTGTATGTGTTGGAGTAACAAAACTGCACATGTCACTGGAAGGATTATTTTATCAAAACTATCTCTATGGGAACAAGCAGCTAACCAGGAATCACATGTGGTTATAACTTACAATGTAGTACATTCACATTGTCAACCACTCTGACAGGATAACTTGACCTGTGTCATGTGATCATTGTCTGTTGCTATGGGGTTAATCTAGGCCATGTGTTTTCTCCCACAGCTTTGTGTTGCGTGGAATATGGCTTATTCATTCAAACAAAATTTAAAGTATAATTTTGACATGGATGTCGTAGTTGCTTGAATGTACGTACATCTTTATAAAGATTGCAATTTGGTAACTTTCATAATCTTTCATTAATCATTATCTCTTCACTCTTGTCAATGCATATACATGTATATCATTAGAGCTAGGATGTAAGTGATAACCATATGCATAACATATGTGTATCTCTACAGTTCTATGTTTATAGTACAGGACGGAACATAAATCACATAGTTTGACATACTGCTTACATACTGGCTACATGTGCTATTGATGAAGATTAATATCCGAGGTTTCTGTGTTTTTATTTGGTCTGATAACTACAGATTGTGCTGAAAATGATTCATGTTGTCAAGCTTGTTGAAATTAAAAACAAATCATAGCTAAATAAATGAATGAACAGAATCTTCAAATAATATAGGCAAGGCATTGGCCTAAAATAAAACGCCATTGCTTCAACAGAATTAACATAGTAGATCCAGACTTTGATATATTAGTATTCAGTTCCACTTTTAACATTCTATGTATGTGATATATATATTTATATATATATATTTATTTATATATTTATTCATATTTAATCTCAGGTTGACATCATCTGATTTTCATCCTCTCCTATGGCTTGGATCACTCATGTTTGCTGATATCAACCTAAGAAAATATTGTGTGGCATTATATATATATCTGCTAAAACATCTTACGAATACAATTTAAAAATCCAAAAATTGAACAAAAGCAAATGTGTATGATTCATTTTCTATATCGAAGCTTTAAGTTTTAAATGTGATAGTTATAACTATTTAGTGTATGTGAGAGTTTCTATATTATCCTTTTTATTCCATGTTTGTTGTTGTCATTTTACCATACTTAATGCACGGATGATGAATTTATGAAAAATTAATTTTCTTTTTTCAACTTAAAATGCCTAAGGTTGCCATATATTCTAATTGGCACTATGTCTATAGGGAAAATAATAATTTTGTCCAATTCAGTTGACATTTGGTATTAAGCGAACTTAGAGTGTATTCGCCGCTGACAAAAAAAAATATTGTGTCATATCACAAATATTTATGTTCGATATTTGCCACAGGAATAGACTTTGATCGAAATACATGTAGTGCCAACTACCAAGTGAAAATATCACATGACTGATATTTTCATCTGGAACACGGCATTACATGTCATATTTTCACTCCTATACTAATAGAAATCAGTGGATTACAACGTTATGGTGACAGATGTATAATAATGTAATTATATTATCACTTACAATTACAGTGTGTCATAATTGTTGTGGTATTGCACTGGATATACCATATTAGGAAATGTGAATTCCGGATATGGAATATTTACTTAAGCATGTAAGCTTTCTCTAATAATAAAAACAAACACGGCAAAGAAGTTCACTAAATCTGTTCTAAACCTTTTAGATATATCTTTGAAAAGAAAAGATGTATATTAATAATAATAAGGTGATTTATATACAAGGATATCCCAAAGTACATGCACTCGGACAGTACACGGTCGCCTCGACCTCCCCTGCACGTCACTTGATACTCCTGCTGTACTGTCTTCGGGCATACTTTTCAGTATTCTCGTAATAACCTCATAATATTACTAACTTGGCTATTATCCTGTTACTTTTAATCAAAGGCACCTGAGGAGGACACTTTTACTGTTCATATTCGTCTTGTCGGTGATTGGACAGAAGCTTTGGCTAAATTGTGTAGAGTTGATGAATTGGAATTTCAGGAAGCTTCCAAAATGCCTAGGTGAGTGTGAAGATGTTTGAGTGAATGAGATGCCTAGGTGAGTGTGAAGATGTTTGAGTGAATGAGATGCCTAGGTGAGTGTGAAGATGTTTGAGTGAATGAGATGCCTAGGTGAGTGTGAAGATGTTTGAGTGAATGAGATGCCTAGGTGAGTGTGAAGATGTTTGAGTGAATGAGATGCCTAGGTGAGTGTGAAGATGTTTGAGTGAATGAGATGACTAGGTGAGTGTGAAGATGTTTGAGTGAATGAGATGCCTAGGTGAGTGTGAAGATGTTTGAGTGAATGAGATGCCTAGGTGAATGTTTACTAGGTAAAAGATGCCAGAGTGTGAAGATGTCTATGTGTGTAAGACAATATGAGCAATATATTGTGTGTTTACAACAGATTTTAATTATTCCCCGTTCAGATGCAGTTTGAAAACGGGGACATATTGATTGACCTATATATATTTGGCATGCCTAGACCGATTACATTCAAACTTCACACATACATGTACATCACATATGATAATATGCATAAGCACATAAAATTGTTTTGCGATCTGTTTCAAGCCATTTTTGTTATGAAAAATCATCAAAATCAAGCATTTCTTGACTGTTTACAAATATATTTTGTTCAAACTTTGTATAGACATTGGAAATTACTGGACCTTGATGCACATTATTTTGTTTTTCAAATAAGATTAAAAATGGCAGAGTGGCAGCTATTTTGTTTTAATGAATGTGGTTCTAATGCCATATCTCTGACATGCTTTGACTGATTTCGTTCAAATTTTAAATATTCATTATACATCATGTCACAGATATATGGATATATTGGTTTGATGATCCAATTCAAAATGGCCGAATGGTGGTCATTTTTGTGGTAAAAAATCATCAAAAATCAAGCATTTGTGGCATTTCTGGATGGATTTTGTTCAAAATGAGCTGGTCATGACCTAGATTTGAATTAGTGACAGGTGGGTAATACCATTATCAATCTCAGTAGAAAATGTAGAGGATGTCAGGGCTACATTTTGATGGGAATTATAGTGGTGATACTGAAACAAACCCAGGTTCTGGTAATATACAAAGACCTGAATTAACAAAGAAGTTAAGTTGTTATTAAAGGTACATCTTAAAGGTTTACTCAGATTTATGAATGCAGTTTCTTGAGCATGTATGAGACATAGTTTGGTTGCACTTGTGTACTCTGAGATTTTGGACATGTGTCAATGAAAGTTTTCAGTTATCAGATTAAGGGAAATCACTTTATGATGAGTTGTACCCACATAGAGTATTTTATAATTAAATAATGAGGACTGTGACATTCATGTCTTGTTGTCATTGTTATATCACTGATTGTAATATAATATGGTGATTGATAAATGCAAAATAGTATAATGACACTTTTTGATTGAAAACACTTTTCACTTTATGTCTTCACTTTATTTTTGAGTGGAAAACACACAAAATCTTTTGTCCATGGAAAAATTGTAATCTTTTTTTATAGAATGATTAAAACCTAAATATATCTTTTGGTAAAATATTAAAGTGGGGGATTCATCACATGTGCATGCAGCAGACAGCCATAGCGTGTCATTGTTTACAAAGTGTCTACCCAGAAGCCTTAGTGTTTGTAGCACTTAAGACTCAATTCCTGTCTGTGCACTGGTGACAACTGCTTTGCTTTATTAGGCATCGATTTAATTTGATTATGGATATTTATAATTATCATTATATGTGGCAACAGAAAGATGGTGAGTGATTATGCTAATTAGCATGCATGCAAATAATTGAACTCTACAAGAGCATCAGTTTAAAGTACTTCTACTCCTTGTTTTAGTTTTCACATATTTAGATATAGTCATCACCTGGAGTTTTTCTCACCATTTGTGGATATCTTAAACATAGCAATCAAAGAATTCTCATATTCAATTAGTTTGTCGTTTACTCAACATTTACCAAAAGACACATATGGACATGTTTTGTAAAATCCATAATTCAGATATAGTCTGAAAGCAGGTACTCATGGATTGACCTCCATGCACCTGAAAGGAGGGAATTCATGGATTGACCTCAATGCGTCTGAAAGCGGGGATTCGTGGATTGACCTCCATGTGCCTGAAAGGAGGGAATTCATGGATTGACCTCAATGCGTCTGAAAGCGGGGATTCATGGATTGACCTCCATGCGTCTGAAAGCGGAGATTCATAGATTGACCTCAATGCGTCTGAAAGCGAGGATTCATGGATTGACCTCAATGCGTCTGAAAGCGAGGATTCATGGATTGACCTCCATGCGCCTGAAACAGGGGATTCATGGATTGACCTCCATGTATCCTAAAGAGGGGGTTCATGGATTGTCCTCCATGCATCTGAAAGAGGGGATTCATGGATTAACCTCAATGCGTCTGAAAGTGGGATTCATGGATTGACCTCAATGCACCTGAAAGGGAGGATTCATGGATTGACCTCCTTGCATCTGAAAGCAGGATTCATGGATTGCCCTCCATGTGTCTGAAAAGAGGGAATTCATGGATAGACCTCCATGCGTCTGAAAGGGAGGATTCATGGATTGTCCTCAATGCGTCTGAAAGCGAGGATTCATGGATTGACCTCCATGCATCTGATAGCGAGGATTCATGGATTGACCTCCATGCGCCTGAAACAGGAGATTCATGGATTGACCTCCATGCATCTGAAAGGGGGATTCATGGATTGACCTACATTCGTCTGAAAGGGGGGATTCATGGATTGACCTCCATGCTCTGAAAGGGGAGATTCATGGATTGACCTCCATGCGTCTGAAAGGGGGGATTCATGGATTGACCTGACCTCCTTGCGTCTGAAAGCGAGATTCATGGATTGCCCCCCATGCGCCTGAAAGAGCGGATTCATGGATTGTCCTCCATGCGTCTGAAAGCGAGGATTCATGGATTGACCTCCATGCGTCTGAAAGCGGGGATTCATGAATTGCCCTCCATGCATCTAAAAGCGGGATTCATGGATTGAGCTCCATGCATCTGAAAGGGGGGATTCATGGATTATCCTCCATGCGTCTAAAATCGGGATTCATGGATTGCCCCCCATGCGTTTGAAAGCAGGGATTCATGGATTGACCTCCATGCGTCTGAAAGCAGGATTCATGGATTGCCCCCCATGCGCCTGAAAGAGGGGATTCACGGATTGTCCTCCATGCGTCTGAAAGAGAGGATTCATGGATTGACCTCAATGCGTCTGAAAGCAGGATTCATGGATTGCCCTCCATGCGTCTAAAAGCGGGATTCATGGATTGAGCTCCATGCATCTGAAAGGGGGATTCATGGATTATCCTCCATGCGTCTAAAAGCGGAATTCATGGATTGCCCCCATGCGTTTGAAAGCGGGGATTCATGGATTGACCTCCATGCGTCTGAAAGCAGGATTCATGGATTGCCCCCCATGCGCCTGAAAGAGGGGATTCATGGATTGTCCTCCATGCGTCTGAAAGAGAGGATTCATGGATTGACCTCCATGCGTCTGAAAGCAGGGATTCATGGATTGACCTCAATGCGTCTGAAAGCAGGATTCATGGATTGCCCTCCATGCGTCTGAAAGCGGGATTCATGGATTGAGCTCCATGCACCTGAAAGTGGGGATTCATAATTTAAGCTTAAAAAATATGTCAAATCATTTTGATCATTAGTTACTCAGTAAATTTCAAATACTAAGAACTAAAACGAAAAACACCATACAGGTTTTTTTGAAGTCGTATCCTGTAACAAAAGAGTTGTGGAAGAGTTCTGCCACAAGAGGGCATGTTTTGCATGGCTGAAGAAGACTGCTACAATGTAGATGGCTAGAAGAGTTCAATTTCTTTCTACAATAGACACATAAACCTACAAATATTCATTCCAATTTAATTTGTTTTGCATCTTCAATTACCAAAAATATTTATAATATATTAGCAATTAGACTTTTATGTTTGCATAAATGATTTCAATAAAAATTATTTTAACCAGTGATGTTTTTGTAGATAACTGTCACAAATTAGAATTCATGTAATTCTTCTTATGTATATCCCACAGTTTGTCAGTAGACGGTCCATTTGGTACAGCAAGTACTGATATATTTGAGTATAATGTGGGTGTGTGTATAGCAGCTGGTATTGGAGTCACTCCATTTGCTTCAATATTGAAATCAATATGGTAAGATACTATGACAGAACCCCACACCCTCCTAGTGGCTTTCGTTGCGTATGGATATCCTGCGGCCATACTTTCATGAGCGAAGCAGCAGAATACACTGCATCTTAAGTGAAAATAACTTCCATACGCAATGAAAGCCACATGGAAGGTGTGGGGTTCTGTTATTATTACATGTTTCATATTTGATTATTTCATATTAAAGAAAGAACGTGCGACAAACCAGGATGGCATTTAGGTCGGGAACCCTATTGCCTATTAATAAGTCCCAAGATAGTGTTATGCCCTAGCAATGCATGTCAGTGTAGAACGTGTGTCACTGTGTGTGTGAAAAAAAATAATCAGACGTCTAATCTGAGTCACTGTCTGAATAAATAACTTGTGGACATTTAGTTGGGGCCACAACAGAACCAGAACTTGAACTGGACGACTATGATACACAGTTTATGTTGAAGTTAAAAGTTCCACCACCGAACTGTGCATTGGCAAACATGCCGTGCAACTTCGGTACTCCACTGACAGGCTTACTTTTGTTGGCAGTGGTCCACCCTACAATCATACTAATTCATTGA